GGCCTAAGCACCCATTGGGTACCGTGGGGCTATGGGGGATACATGGGAAAGGGGGGACGCCACACAGACTCTGGCGAGGGAACACGTGTGCATGCAACATGAACACATTCTGGCTCCGCCTACGAGAACCGCCGGGTGGTACCTCCGCGTTCGACATTCACAGACCATCTACCACCTACGGACAATCACAACATCCATAGCCAAGAGAAAAATTTCTCCTGGGACGGGACTCGAACCCGCACAGCGCACGGCGACTGATCAGGAGACTGAACAGTCTATTACTGCGGCCACCGCTGATGCCACAATTGATAGATGACTCATTGCCACTTTGAAAATATTGGGATATACACCTTGCATCTCTTGTCATATTTCAATAATGCTTACTTTCAGAGTATTTACAGGAGCACAAAGATATAACGAGAGCTCGTCGTCACGGTCAGTTTTTTTTTCTTTTTATTTGCGTGTGAGCCAATGATTTATGGTGCTTCCAAAAATCAAATTCACTTTTATCTTCATCCTCTGAAGATGATGGTGAACCTGTTGCGGCTGCGGCTGCAGATTTATATTCTGACATTAACTAATAATTTTTGAAATCGCTTTTGCACGTGCGTCAGGTTTCTTAAAAGGCAAGTTTTTGAAACGAGGGTCTAGCAATGTCGAAACTGTTATTATCATATTGTATTCCAACTGGCCAAAACGCTTCTCCATTTCCAGAGTAATATTTTTCTTCAAAACGCCGGCAATGGTTGAAATGATCCTCGATTCATTGTATTGGTCAATTGCACAACTCACCATAGGCACAACTTTTGAAATAGTGACATAATGTTCGGCAGAAGCCTCTCTTGTTATAGCTTCCAGTGGTCGCAGAACATGCGCCACATTTTAATTTGGGTGGGTTTTTCGATATTTTGATACGATATATTGAATTTTTCGATATTTTTAATTGTTGTATATATCGATATTTATCGGTTTTTCGATATACCGTTGCATCCCGAGCAGTGACTGAATTCGGGCCAGTAAATAAACATGTTACAGGATTTTTTTCCACGGTTAGATGAGTTCAGCTAAGGGGATGTTTGGTTCCAATATGAAGGCGCAGCGACACACATTTCAAGAACATCACTAGCTGGTCTTCCCCTTCAATTAGGTACAATGTGGAGTGGTAGACCCGTTCTCCCGATTTGGCACCTTGTGATTTTTATATGTAGTTTCTTGAAATCCCGTGCTTACGTCGACCATCAAATGACCTACAAGATTTGAAGACCAACATCCAGGAAGAAAGTTTAAACATAACGCCTGCTATTCTGGACAGAGTGATGACACACGCCAGAAGTCGGTTTACTCAGTGTACTATGTAAAATGAAACTTTACACTGTAAAAAATCAACTAAACGTTCTGATTCATACAATGGATTGAAGTTTCGAAAAAGGGAAGTCATGCTGCCGCACATGTATTAACTGATCAGTAACGCTCCTTCTTCTTGCTATTTTCCTTCTTCCCTAACATCTTCTTCTGCTTATTAATAACGTCTGGATCTGGCTTACTTATATACCACATATCACTGCCGCCACACACAGACGTTAAAATGACGCGTTTTATAAAATGCGCGTTTAGCATTAGATGACGTGGATGTAGGGTTCCAATTGCGTTTAGTCGAACGTGCTTTTTGGTTTACATGCTATGTCAATATTTGCCAGCGCGTAAAGCAGGTGCGCGCAGGCTCTAATGCGCGTTTTTTTTTGCAGCGCGACAGTTTGAAAATATGAACGGACAGTTATAAAAACCGCCTGACTACCAAGGCCACGTCCTATGGATCGCCATGGCAAGACGCGATTAAAAAGTAGTAGCACACCCAAATATCGCGACTGCATGGTGGACTTTTTCATGGAGGAAGAAAGCTTCTCCATTTATTGTGCTGCTCCACAATAGAACTACAGCAGCCCATTTTATCCGTTTGTGTCAGTACAAGACTTCGTAGAGAGCTGAGGAATCACGACGGTGCAGTAATAGCGAAAAATGGAGTAAACCTCTATTTTATTTGCAGTAATAGTAGCAGTAGTAGTGTACTGTTCGACGTGAAAACACGAAAATCTTAGAAATCACTAAATGAATTTTTAAGATTTTTAGTGTAATGCGTTCAAAATGCTTATTGAAAGGTTTACCCATTACTATTGTGCGCTTTTTGAATGTCAATTATTTTTTCAATTCAGTTTATAGTTATAAGACAGCCTAATGGTACAAAAAAAGCTTATCTGGATTAGTGCATTTTACTGGGACGTTACTGAGATACAAGGTGTTCAAGTTTATATCCTTCAATTTACACATTTTTAATTTCTTTTGAATTACACGTATGCCGCTTTTTACTTTGTCAGCGCGGTCAAGAGACTTTCAGATGGAAAACTATTTTCGCTTGTTTGGAAAAAAGTTGCTGAATAGTTTGCGACTAGGAAAATTCACCAAATAACAGAACGCTTAGAATAGAACAGGAATGTGAGGATAATCCATTCATAAAGAAACAAGAAAGAAAACAAAATCCACAGCTTTTTATTGAAGCGTATTTACTATACAAATACTGGAATATACTTGACATAATACGGACCAAAACCTGCGAGTTCAATTTTTTTGTCAAGATGGATGAAACTAGAAAGATCTAGAGACATTTTGCACCTTCCAGTTTATTTCTGCGAGTTTCATATTCGGTTGATTTTGATAGCTACATACTCTGAAATTACTCATCAACAGTCAAGCGGAAATTCTTGTTCACGTTAAAGCCTTTTGATCATACCACCAGGGGCGTGCTTAGTTAATAATCAAAATACCCGGCTTAAATTTGAGCGCACCGCCCGCTCGTAAGATAATTAAATGTGGAAGTTTCCTAGTCTTTGGAACACAATATTATAATCTAAGTAAGCACTAAACAATTTTTTGAATATCTTAAAAAATGACGTCACGCTAACCAAAAGTTTCTTATTTGGAGAATTGTCATACTGGAGCCTCTGACTGAGTGACGACGCCATATCACACAAGCTGTCATTGGCACCACAAAGCTATATGTCCGTAGTTACGACTAGATGGTAGAAATGTGTAAAAAATGGAACAGACCTTCGACTTACAAATGCTGTATTATATCTAGGTGTACGAATACAGGCATAAAAGTTTCAGAAAAACATTTTTACCTGTCTCTCTATAGAGGAATTAAAAAGAAGCGCAGGGTAATGAACAGGGACGATAAAATTGCCTGTTTAGGCAATATCATTTTTTTGCTGTCTATCTCATTTTGATGTTAATAGGTAATTAGTTAATGTGGTAAAAAGGATCAAAATAAATATTAATATATCTGCCTATTATGATGGATCAATCACTTAATTACTGTAATCAAGAACGGAGACAGATTTAATTATTGCTTTCATTTTGAGATAATGTGAATACTGTTACAATGCTTATTTTGTGGCTAGAGGGGGAATACTGCTTTAACTTTGACCTTGTCTGTGTCAACGTTGAGATGCATAAGCGTGGTTCAAGAACCAAAAAATCTGGCCAAAAGTAAAAAAATATTGTATAATCTAATTGTTCCACGATTTAAAATAGTCAGTTGTAAGGCATTTATTTGCCAAATGACACATAAACTTTACAACAACAACAGGCAATTGATATTTTTCCGTAATTAGTGAATTCAAATAGGTTGAAAAAAGACCATGAGGGTCCGCTTTAGTTCGAACAGTAGCATCTCTATCCGACACGGAATATGTCAATTTTGGCTGCAACTTGGCAATTATGTGACATTATAAAATATTACATTGAATATACCTCGAAAACATTTAACAAAATGGACAATTTTTTTGCAAACATAGTCATCATATCACCCATTTAGATATTTTGAGGAATCCATATTTAATTCGTTGTTGGCGAGCTTAAAAATACTGAAACAAACTTCATTTTGAGCGCTGTCAAAACAATTCAGCAAACACAGCCGACATATTGGAACCTCTCTTTCGATTTTTGAACAATCCGTATCTAGTTCGTTATTAGCGACCCTAAAAGCACCTGAAGCTTTAATTTGAGCTCTATCAAATCATTTATTTTGCAAAGATGGACGGAAATGGACATTATATCAACGACATGGAAATGGCCACATTTTGGGAAATCCGTCGGGTGGTACCTCCGCGTTAAGTGTGAGACCGGCTACCATCCACGGATAATCACAACACCCACAGCCAAGAGAAAACTTTCTTGGGACCGGATTCAAACTCGCGCAGGGCACGGTGACTGATTAGTAGTTCCATAACGTCTACGATTCTAATATTATTCACAACAAATTTAAATTTTTAGTAATAGATTAATTACAATAAAGCGAAAACTGGCATGCTAAAAAGCAAAAAACAGGAAGGAAAAAAAGTTATTAGAAAAGTAAAAAAGTACGGTTGTGACATCAAGTCATTGAAGTAATGCTGATTTTACTTTACGTCGAAGAGCTGGCAATGTGTATTGTTAATACAACTTTGGAACAGAATTACATATAGTAGCAACATTGTTGAAATAGCGTTGTTGAGTATTGAGATATCCTGATAATTTTATCTCTAAGTGGTCTAGAATGGAAATCATTGCTATTAAGGTGGTTTAGACGTAAGTAATAATTTATGGAGAAAACTGAGTAGTGATATTTAACCGAATAATTTATTTTCAACCAATTGGGCATTAGATGTTGTGCTGATACATTATCAAAAAATGAAACGAGAACAAAATTGTTTTGAATCAATTGTATTAGGTTTTTGGTATAGTATAGATATTCCAGTAATTTAGAACATTATATGACCAAGGATTCACATATTTTTTTATGTAACTTGTAATTTAGTAGATATTTGTTTCCAATTAGAGTACGTAGCCTTATATACACTTTTTAACATGCAGAGCTATACATTTATTTCTCTAGAAATTTTATATATCCATTTTTCGGACCTAGGTCCGAGGTTTAACCATAAGAGCACTCCACTATAACTTACTTGGGTCCGTAGCGTGGATGCGATATAATCGATTGAACAGTGGTATCGCGAAGTTGAAAGTTGCCGTAAGGCAGAGGACTCTTATCTGTAGAGCCGAGAGCGCTGTCCGTGAAGTCCGAGTTGAGGTTTTGCCTGCAACAGAAATAGCATGTTCAGAGATGTTTGGTGCAATCAGAGGAAATTGAGCATTTTCATATACAGGGTCACAATAAATCATGTAAATCAAATTGAATCGTTCATTCCAAAAACAACAACAATTTTTTTTCCAAAATGCTTTTTCGATGGACACGCTTCCTTAACAGAAGATGACTAATAAAAAATGTTCAAAAATTTTTGAGCGTCTATGATCTGGATGGAAGCGCGTTTTCTATGTAAATCGTTCCGAATTTGATGTCAATTTAGCGTCTGAATTCACGAGTGGCAACAGGTGACTAGTTTTTGACAAATATTTCACCCCTAATTTGGCATTATGACCCTTTAAAGTTTTTTTTTCACGACGATATTCAAATTTAGCGCCCTAAATTATACAATGTACGAGGTCTGTGAATTAAGTGAAGAGACTGATCTTTTTTAATTTTCTTAGTCAAATATAATTACAATTTTACATTGTCAACCTCAAAATAACTTCCTTCTCAACCCACACAGTACTGGAGTTAGTCCTTCCAGTCCTGATAGCAGTGGTGGAACACCGATCCTAGCCTAGGCTTTAGCTGATCGGTTACTGCCGCTTGGGTGTTTTCGACTGTCCCAAAATGAGTTTCCTTGGGAGGATTTTCCAACTTCGGAAAGATAAAAAAGTCCCACCGGAATGTTTCTACTGACCAAAAACTCGTTTATTGTCATTGTTGTGTGACAAGGAGCATCATCGTGATGCAACTTCCATTTATTCTTGATCTAATGAACGATGGTGTGAGTCAAATTTTACTTTTCCCTGATCATCAAATCTTGAAGATGAAGGCCTTCCGCTTCGTGGTTCATATTAAGTCGACTCGCTCTCTTCTAAAATGCCGGAAACCACCGAAAACCTGGGCTTTTGACAAAATGCTGTCTCCATAGGCCTGCTGAAGTTTAGCAAGAGTTTCTGTTTCACTGTCTGAAGCACACCGTTGCTCGAAATTTATGCCACTCATTTTTAGAACACAATAGGATAAACTGTTTTACAAAAAAATCGCTACCGACAACCAAATCACTCAAGCGAGTTCAAACTTGTACTGAAGGCGGACCACATGTTGACAGGTCGAACACCACGTCGCCAGTCTCAGTACTCAATTTACAGCCCTCGTACATAGTACGTACAAGATACGTACGATAAAGGTCATTTGAACCGCATCTAAGATATATTAATTCTTAGTGATAATGTGTTTCCAATCACGCTATATTGCGTACCTTTAACATAATCTACGTAAATTAATACGTTCCTTCTCCTTCAAATAATACCGTGTAATACACGTTCATTGCAAAACCAACTCAAGTCAAGTGACCGATGCTTAAATGAGTCCTCTCAAAAATAGTACCGGAAAACTTGTTTTTTCTTTTCATATTTATGTGCTATTTGCATCAAAATACCAATTTAGAATTCACCAACTACAAGTTCTGATATAACTGAAGGTAGAAGACGGGTGCAAGCTCGGACCCATGGCCAGGAATATCTCAAGGTCAGAAGTCAATTTTGAAGACATTGGAGCAGATCTTTTAGCTATTTTGATTAAGGAATTTGGTCTGAGTTAATAGATATTTACCTAAATTTACCTTTTCGAAGTTTCCAGTTCCAACACAGATATCTCAGATTCCAGAAAAATGTATAGACGGATTTTATAACAGCAACATAATCTTGAGAGTAAAAAAAAAGTTCTTCAACTGCGGATATGGAAAATATTTCAGTGTAGGCTTTCATTAGCCTTCAAAGTTGAGAAGATAAGTTTTCCATATATTAAAAAAACTATGTACTACTGAGTATAGCTTTGCTATAGCGGCTAATTCTTTATTCATAAGTAATATCATAAGGGTATCTAATTTTTCCGAAAAAATACTAAAAACACGTTGCTAAGTAATATTTTAATAAGTAGCATGAACGATGGTTGCAACAAAACAATTAGATGCCCGAATGGTATTTGACAAGACTATTTCATAAGTAACAAACTATTCTGCATACACATACGTAGGTTACAAAACATACTACCTATTATGCATGCATACGTAATTTCTGGTAACAACAGCTGTCCAGTTTTGCCTCAGGTATTCTCGAAAAAACTGCTGGCAGGTGCTGTCATACAATTTTTCCATCTAGGAACCATTTGTAATTCAAAATTGCACGTTTGTGATTGGTAGAAATTAAGACGAGGGAAATAGTCTGAGAAATCGGCAATTTTCATTATTTTTTACCAAAAGTGCACAACAAAAAATCCGAAATAATAACCAAAATTTAAATCTCTTTGAAACCTAATAAGCATTCAGGAAATAAATTTTTAATTATGCTCACCAATTTCTAAAAATTTAGAATCGCAACTAAATTTCTTGAGGTTATTAGTCATGCTTACGTGCTGCTGACTAGGCATGTAGCCTCTGGAGTAAATTGGATAAGTCTCATTTCAAAGGCCTCCCCATTCTCTGCAACTCCGTAAGCCGTTTGCTGCCAGTACCTTACAGCTTTTTAGAAACAATGTTACTACTATAACGAGTACAAGTATAAGCTTTGTAGTTTCTGAAAATCGGTTTTGTAGCGGCGGAACTAGAAGCAAAAAGTAAAAAAAAATTACTCAAATTTCGATTTTTGATAGTTCAAATGCTCATACATTTTCAGAAAAAATGTAGGAGTTAAAAATTGATGGCTAGGATAAATTTTTTGGTGGTATTATGTAACCATTAGTATATATTTGAAATATCACAGATTTCCATTACATTTGCCCTAAAGACTTATGCCAAATAAAATCCTTTGTTGACTGCTGACCATGTTGCATGGCAAGTGCATAGTAAACCTATTTGATGAAATTTTTTGATAAACGCAAAAAATTATTTTTTAAACATTGACGTTTAACAAAAATTTCACAAAGAGGAATCACTTGCATCCTGTATATAATAATAAGACTTTTTTATTCCATTGTAAGATCCGTTTTACACATTTTTCTAGAACAGTGTCCGTTTTGGCCAGATCTAAAAATTGGAAAAAATCATGTAGCAATCCACGCCAAAAAAATATTTCAAAGTACTGATATATAATAGATCTATTAGCATGCAAATTCAAACAGTTTACTCTAATAAATTGCCACGGCTTACCCACTATATAATTTGGAAATACGAATCCCTGTAGAAATTCAGAGGGCAAAACCAGCCATCCATGAAAACTGGGATCATAAAGTCGTGGATGCACAAGCTCGTCTGGTTGAGATTGCATACAGAGCTTTAGTATTTTAGGGTATTATTTTGACCTCAGCACACGTTTCGTGAATTACACGACTCCAGAGGGGTTGGTCCGTATAAATCACTGACAGGCTTATCTGCCGTTTCCAGTTACCCCATGCAACCAAGGATAGATATACAAATGGTGTTCTGTTTTGTCACAAGGGTTTACATGAAAAAGAGAAGAAAAAATACGCTGCGTCAAGAATATCGAATAGCGAATCGCAGCCAATTGGTTGAGACTGTATAGGTCTGAATGGAGGCACATTCACCAAGGGATAGCTGGATGGCGACGATTCTAGCTATGTACAGGGTGCGGCAGAGAGGACGGACGAAGGTGGGGAGGGTGCCGTTTGACTCGTGAGATCCCAGCATTATTTTACCAGTTGTCGTTATGGAGCCTTGGACGGTGGAGCGCCGCGTTTTCGCCTTTCGTCCGAAATAATGAGTCCGTCATCGTCGTACAGCGTGAGTTTCGTCGCCACTTCAACATTCATCGGAATAGAGCTATTCCCTCTCGAAACACCATCCTTCGTTGGGTTGAATCACTTCGCAGGCGTGGTGAACTGATGAACAGAAGACCAAGAGGAGCGCCGCGAACAGTTCGAACTCCTGAAAATGTTGGACGCGTTCGACAGGTGTTTCTTCGCAGTCCGACTCGATCTGCCCGGAAACATGCTGCTGCACTTCGCCTTAGTGATCGTTCGGTAAGGCGAATTTTGCATATGGATCTCCGCTTTCACCCCTACAAATTGGCCATTGTGCAACAGTTACAGCCCGGAGATTATGCACAACGAATGAACTTGGCACGTGAGATGGAAGCACTGATCGATCAAAATGAGAACCTCATTTTGTTTATGAGTGACGAAGCCCACTTTAATCTAAACAGCATGGTTAACCAGCAGAACTGTCGTTATTGGGCTAATGAAAATCCGCAACAGTTACACGAAAGACCGCTGCACAGTCCAAAAGTAACCGTTTGGTGCGCTGTATCGCAAACTTGCATCATTGGCCCTTACTTCTTCGAAGACGGTAATGGTCGTGATGGTACCGTGAACTCAGAGCGCTACGTCGATATGATCACCAATTTCTTTCTCCCTGAATTATGACGGCGACGTGCTCCAATCCGACGTGTGTGGTTCCAGCAGGATGGGGCGACCGCCCACACAGCCCGAGCATCCATGGACGTTATCCGCCCTCTCTTCCGTGGTCGCCTTATTTCCAGGTTTGGCGATGTTCAATGGCCTCCTCGGTCCGCAGATTTATCCATATGCGATTTTTTCTTATGGGGATGGCTCAAGGCTAGAGTATACGCGAACAAGCCCCGAACTCTGGACGAATTGAAGGGCGAAATTCGCGTGGAAGTCGCCCAAGTTGAGAGAGCGATGTTCGAGAGAGTCTACGCGAACTTCCAAGAACGCCTCCAGCACTGCATCAAAGGTTTCGGCCACCACATGCCTGATGTGATTTTCCACACTTGACTGTCTCAAAAGCTATTTCCTTGTGAACCTGATTTCATCAATAAATTTGCTTTCGAGTAAAAATTAACTATTTTATGATTTTTTTAAAACCGTCCATCCTCTCTGCCTCACCCTGTAGTAGATGTAGTCTATTTGTCATTGACCAAAATTCGTTCGTCCGACCAAAGATAGACAGCCGTGGGCAGCTGTTTCGTGCTTTTCGGCAGAATGAACTAGGTTTGGGTCTTTCGGACAACAAACATAATTTATTTTCTG